TAAACCCTAAACCCCAAAGACCCCCTAAAGCCCTACTCCCCAAATGAAGCCCTATACCCTAAACCCTAAACCCCAAACCCTAACCCTAAACCCAAACCCTAAACTCTAACCCCCAAACCCTAAACCCTAAACCCTAAACCCTAAACCCTAAACCCTAAACCCTAAACCCTAAAACCCCTAAAACCCTAAAACCCTAAACCCTAACCAGGTCAGATACGCGATCTCGCGCACGCCCTGGCGCGGCGCCCCGAGCTGCGGGAGGAGCTCCAAGCCGGAGCCCGGGCCTCGAACTCCGCTGTAGGGTCCCTTTTGGGGTCCCTGGGTTTAGGGTTCAGGGTTACGGGTTTAGGGTTTAGGGTTGTTCAGGGTTTCGGGTTTAGGGTTTATGGTTTAGGGTTATTTAGGGATTAGGGTTTCGGGTTTAGGGTTTAGGGTTTCGGGTTTAGGGTCCCTTTTGGGGTCCCTGGGTTTAGGGTTCAAGGTTTCGGGTTCAGGGTTTCGGGTCTAGGGTTTAGGGATTCGGGTTTAGGGTTTAGGGTTATTTAGGGATTAGGATTTCGGGTTTAGGGTTTAGGGTTTCGGGTTTAGGGTCCCTTAAAGGGATTTATAAGGCTTCTTTAGGGTGTCTATAAGGGAAACTATGGGGCTTGAGGATTCCATTTAGGGTCCTTTGCATAAGGGTGCCCGTGCTATATTGGGGACACTTTTCCCCGAGTTTAGAGAACTGCCCATGTGGGTCGAAGGGATAGAGTCGAGGAGTGTAGGGTTTAGGGCCCTAAGCCCTAAACCCTAAACCGTGAGGGCTCGTGACGGTTCATGGGCTCAGGTCGGGGTTCAGGGGGCAGGGTTGGGTGGGGTTTCAGAGCTCATGAGGGCTCAGGGTTTTGGGTTCGGGGTTCCGGGGTTTTAAAAGGATAGGGTTTGGAGTTTGGGGTTTGGGGTTCAGGGATTTAAGGGATTGGGTTTATTGGCATGAAACCTTAAACCTCCCAAAACCCTAACACGGTCCCAAGATGCGACCGCTTTGGCCAGCCCGGTCTTTTCAGCACGGGCATCCGTTTCATTTAGGAATTTAGGACTTAGGATCATGCAGTGTATTCCATTTAGGACTTTGCTTTTCGAGGGCTTCCGCAGAAGTAAGCAACACCTGAGACCGTGGGACCCGTGCTATCAGAGAAGCCCCCCCCCCAAGTGCAACATACAGGTAGACAAAACAAACTATGGGCTTTAGTGCTTTCCTGTAACCAGCGGACATGCAGCCCTTGGCAAAAGAAGCTCGTGGTAGTTCTTGAATGAGTCCCTGCGCCCTGAGCCCTGGGTTTTTTCGGCCTTTGCCGCACTTCAGCCGTCTCTGCAGAGTGTTTAGGGTTGGCATAGGGTTTAGGGTTTCAGGGTTTTGGGTTTAGAGGGCCCAAATCCCCGGAG